AACATCACGAAATTCGACATATGTCAGGAAATTTTCGACATTCCCTCTTTCTACAGAAAAACCCTAATCCCCACTTAGCATGTCCAAGTGAAGAACTCACGAGTCATATGCGCAAAAGAGACAAACTGGGGTGAAGATTGGACAAGCGTTGGTTCGTTCTCTTTTTCGACATTCGGGCAAGCATTCGACATCCCATCCCAAGACTGTTGAAAATGTCCAAGTTGCAGACCTGAAGTGGAAACGAGCCTTTCTCCACAGGAGGTGTTGAAACCCTTTCCCTGACAGCTCCTGAATGTTTTTTGCATCTCGGATTTCGACATGCTGTGTGGGGAGGAGAAAATGTTTACGCCTACAATTAGTAGTAGTGGTAGGTAGGTAGTGGGAGGTGAAATTGAGAGAAGAATATAGCTTTTTATAATTAAAAAAAAAAAAAGTCGAAAATGCAGTTTTTTTTTGTTTTTTTTGTTTTATACACTATGTTCTTCTCTCAAATTTTTTTTCGCCTTTCACGACCTTCCTNACCTTCCTTTTTTTTTTTTTTTTTTTTTTTTTTGAAGAAGAAGAAGACAGCCCGCAAAGTGCTAGGGGTTGCAGCCCAATGCGAGGTTGGACTTGGACAGGCCGCTCACGGTTGAAGAAGTGAAGCAGACTCTTAAGACTATGGCCAAGGGGAAGTCCCCGGGCGTGGACGGTCTCATAGTCAAATTCTACGTCGCCAACTGGGCAGTTTTCGGCCCTGCACTAGTGGATATCTATAACGAGGTCCTAGTGGGGGGACAGTTGGGCAAGGGGATGACACACAGAGTGATTTCTGTATTGTTTAAAAAGGGAGACAAATCGGAGGTACGAAACTGGAGGCCCATATCGCTCTTGAATGTCTCCTACAAGATCTTAGCGAAGGCCCTGGCTCGTAGGCTGTCGAGGTACTTACCGGAACTGGAGGAGAAAGATCAGGGCGCCTTTGTTCAAGGCAGGTCGATCTTCAACAACATTGTCACAGCCATTGAGACGCTGGAAGTCGTGCCGAACGAGAACGTGGACACGGCAATACTGCTCCTAGATCTGGAGAAGGCATATGACAAAGTCGGGTGGACTTTCGTCCTCACCACGCTTCGTAAGATGGGGTTCGGTGAAGGGTTCTGCGCCTGGATTATTGCTATGTATACATACTCCACGTCGTCGGTGATGATCAACGGCCACCTGTCGGAGCTATTCCCGCTCTCGAGATCCCTGAGACAGGGTTGCCCGCTTGCTCCCCTAGTCTTCGTCCTTCAACTGGAAGTGCTGCTGAATAGAATCCGAAAGCACCCGAACATCCGTGGCCTCAGATTGCACACGGGCGAAGAATGTAAGGTGAAGGCATTAGCGGATGATTTATTCGCAATAAGCGAAAACTCGGTCTCATCCCTGGCGGCGCTGAAAGGGGTTATGTTGGAGTACTCCGAGCTGTCTGAGGCGTCAGTGAATCGGAGCAAATCTGTGTTCCTCCTTCCGGAACAGTTCGTACTGAGAGTGGAGTGGGGTATGAGAAGAGTGGAGCCAGGGGAGGAGGAGAGATTTTTGGGAGTGCTTATCAGCCTTCAACTCGAATTGTCGACGCAGGGTCTTCTCCTGCAGCAGCGCATTGCAGCAAGGCTCAAAACATGGGAAGTTACTTGGCACCTGTCCTTGCTAGGGAGGGCCCTAGTGGTCAACGTAGCGCTGTTCTCGATTCTTTGGTTCGTCTCAACAGTCAGAGAACTGGCGACGGGGATCATAAGGGCAGTCAAAAGAGTAGTAGGTCGCTTCATATGGAAACCCCGGGCACGGCTCACTGAGGGCTTCATCTCTAAGGTGGCGATGAATACTCTTTCCTTCCCGCGTTCCGAAGGAGGTTTGGGTCTCATGGACCCAGCGCGCAAAAACCAGGCTCAGTTGCGCAACTGGGTAGCCAAGCTGGCCACCTTGACATCCAGGGAGCACTGGGTAGGGATTGCAGAACAGATTCTGATGTCAGAATGGAGTCTAAGCAGGCTGCAGGATGTCTGGGACTGTTTCTTTATCCCGTCTTTCCGCAAGAAAGGCTCAAGTCCAGATTCTGGGAGCCGATCAGGAAGGCGTGGAATCGCTTCCCTCCGGATCTGCAGAGCCCCCCGAGCACGAAGGATGAAGTTCTGATGCGACTGCTGTTTGAAAATCCGGCCGTGACAGACCGAAACGGGCAACCGGTTGAAGCGGACGGTTCCACAGGCTCCTTTGGCCAAGCTTGGGTCAAACGAGGTATAGTCCGAATTTCGGATCTGTGGTCAAAGTTGCTGGGTTGCTGGAAGCCCCCGGTAGACATCAGGCAACAGCTCAGAGGTTTACAGAGGGTGGAAGAAAACTGGCGACACTTAATCCAGGGCATTTCACAGGAATGGAGGTCGCTGTTGGGACCAGAAGGGGTGGACCCGGAGGGTACCTAGTACGTCCCAGACCAAGCTGCTGAACCAGAGATGCTGTGGAAAGTCAAGGAAATTCTTCCCAGCGGCTTCAGGCGTATCAAGCGCTGGCGCTGTGAAGGCCCTGCTAATGTCCTAGCTCTGGTGGAGCAAGATACAATCTTCAGCTGGAGCAACCCAGCACAGGCAAGAGTTCTGGAAGTACGAGGCAAAAGTCCCTCGAGCCTCTCGCTCACTTGGGTAGGAAGACTCCCACTCAACCAGCTCTGTGTGGACCCTCTAGCATGGAGCTGGTCGGCGGAATCAGGTGAAGAGAAAGCTCTGAGTATTGGGGAATACTCGGTGTCTCAGGGTTACCGACAGCTCTCACGAAAGTTAAAGTCTCCAGCGCAAGTAGCCATTCCTCGCTGGCAGGCGATTTGGGAAGAGGACCTGTCGGATGCAGAGGCGGAATTCGAAAGGCTGTGGGAGAGTCTGTCCAACCTCCCGAACGGTAAGCAGGTCAGCATCCTCTGGATGCTTTCCCTCCTGGTCACCCCCTCAGCAGTCTGGCTGATGAGTAGGGGTATGGAAGTAAACCTCGCATGCACAAGATGCAGGTGGCCGTTCGAATCCACCAGACATCTGTGGTGGGAATGCCCAGCCTCCAAACACATCTGGAGATGGTGGGAACATCATTGGAAGGAGTGTGGCGGTACGGGAGTTGAATGGTCCGAAAAATGGGTGCTTCTAGGATTTCTCCCATTGCAAGTGGAAGGGCACCAGGGTGGGGGATACGTCGCCCACGTGGTTCGAGGCCTGATTTGCGAGACAATCTGGAGGGACAGAAATAGGTCGAGATTCGACAGACGCCCATTCTCGGATGTGGAGATCAAGGGACACATCAAACAGGGTCTGAAGCAGGCTATCCTGGCGGACTGGAGACGTAAATCCAAAGCAGGTAAAGGCAACAGGAGCCAACTCCGCTGGTTCTGACACACATGGGCGAGGAGCAATCAGTTGGTATCGGTTCACCCAAGGGAGGGTCTGATCTTCTCAGATTGGATACTCAACAAGCCACCCGCACGGAACCTCCTTCAAGACGGGGCAGTGGGTCAGTGAGTAGTTAAGGGTGCTGAATGGGACCGTGTTCATTCACCAGGGCACTCGATGCAGTAGGGTCGAAGTAGGCCTTTAGGTGAGTGCCAGTAGGACCGGACGATGTCCTCTGGGCCGTGCTAGTCCCGGACTTAGTTAGTAAGCAGTTGATGGTTGATAGGTTAGCAGCCTGTTTTGGAAGTTGTTTAAATGAAAGTTTCTTCTTCGAGATGGGATGGCACAGAATTGGTTAGCTACACCGCATAGTCCTTGTTGTCACAATCTGAATTGAATAGGCTAGTCTCCGGAAAGAATGGAGTGTTTCCCAGGCAAGAGCCTGTAAGCTAAGCTGGCTGATGCTGTCAGTATTTCCCGGGTTGAATTGTGAGGTCCCCAGCCTCGAAGTGCATTTATAATGAATTGAAGCTGGTAAAATTTAAAAAAAAAAAAAAAAAAAAAAAGGTGCTTGGGGTGCTGATAGGAGCAGGCACCGCTCGGGGAGGCTCCATCTATTGGTGGGGAGCAGCACCTGCTGGAAACCGGGTCCAGCGTCCCTGAACGTTTTGGGTTATCTGTATTGTTGTTTTAGCAGAGATGGTAGTGATATGGCGTTGAGCATACAGCTGCTATTCTGCTGAGAGTTTATACTAGCCTGTGATTCTACCTTCTCTGAGCCCTTGCAGAAAAGCACACTTTTCTACCACTACTTCTAAGACTATATAGAGGGGACACCGGCAAGCATAGGGCCTCGCAAACGAGGTAATTCATGTTGCCCCCCGCCCTAACAGCGGTAGTCAGAGCAGAGCTGGGGTGGGGCCGAAAATGCAGTTTTCGACATTGGTGTGGCGAGGCCCGAAACCGAAAAATAAAGAAGAAAACAAAAAAGATCATTGAAGAAAAGAAGTTGTCGTCAGAAAAAGCCGCTCTGCTCTGTTTTCGCCCAACCCCATCCTGATACCTTTCTGGGCCTTTCGCCTAAGATCAAGTCTACCGTCTTCCCCGGAACATAACGCACCCTAAAAATGAATGTATACAAGCTATATTTCCGGCCAGATATGGCCAAAGTGAGGGTGCGTTGCGTTCTGGGGAAGACGGTAGTAAAAAAAAAAAAAAAAAAACAGTCACCTGAGGTTCCAGCGGTTTTCCCCWCCCCGGTCAAACCTCCTCCCCTGCTCTAATTTTTGCACCGCCCATGGGCCTCGCTGCACTACTCTCGACGTGCACAAAAGACAAAAATCTTGGCGGTGTATCTTTCCGAATTCTAGGGGAAGATTCACTCTCGTTTTGCACCTTTCGAGAGTAGTGCAGCGAGGCCCCATCTCGCAGACCGAGAAAAAAGCGGAGGGCAAACAAACAAGCAGTTCGCACACATCCGACTTCTCTCCCATCGTGACACGACTCTCGTCACGCGTCCATTGGATCTCTCCGTGCGAGTGGCAGGCAGCCTTCGCTGTAATTGATTGCTGTCCAAGTGCTCTAATCATCTAATGATCTTGACCGCGGGGTGAAACTTCCGTGAAAGGCACCGATCTCATCGCAACGTCGGATATGGCGGCGCGGCCTTCTTCTCCATTCCGGAGTCGCAGGCTATGGCTGCTCGCGTTGACTTTGTCTGTCCTCAGTGGCGCTGCAGCAGCAGCAGCAGCAGAAGTATCGCTCGGGAGCGGCCCCAAGAGGAAAGAAAGAGGCGCTCGCATTCCAAAGAGGGAAAGACGCGCCAGCAGGGAGGATTGCGCCCCCCTGGCCCGTTTCCTGCAGAGCGATCTGAGCTTCTCCTCGCTGACCGACGCGCTCTTAAAGACATCCGAGCTTCGCGCCATGGAACGTCGTTCCCGCCAAAAAGGCTCAGCTTTCGTGCTGCTTGCCCCCGACAACGCCGCTTTCCCCCCCAACCTCCTGGAGTGCTTGAATTGGACCGATATCGATGAGCAGACGGTGAAGAGGCGGAAGCGCTTGCTGTTGCAGATGCTGAGGTATCTTCAGATCGCCAACTTGCGCTTCGCGGTCAAGTCCATCGCCGATCTCCTCCTCAATGCAGACGGTGAAGACAGGTCGCTGAAGACGGTCCTGGGGCAGAGAATGATCGTGTCTTTGCCTTTGCGTGCTGACGATTACACGCCGTCCGATGACGACGATCCGAGGTCGGCGGCCACCATAGCTATGGTGGCGTCGGCATCCGACAACGGCACGGCCGCCGCGTTCATTGCCAAGGTAACCGTGCTCTCTGCGAACGTCTCTCTGATCCGATTCGCGTCTAAGCTTCTTGTTCCAGAGTCTATTGAGAGGATAATCGACGGCGTGTGCAGACCGTCGATTGCTATGACATTGTGTAGGAGGGGAGGAGATTCGATGGGGGGGGGGGGAAGGGGGGGGGGGAGGAGCGGGAGGTGGCTTAAGGAGATGGGAAAGCCTGAGTTGATGGATGTCTCGACGGGAGATCTATGGCTTCCGTGGTCACAGGCAAGCGCTCAACCGTCGATCGCCGGGGTCCCTTCGTCGTCATCACCGAGGGATGGCCTTGGCTCTGTTGGTTCTGCGAGCGACATCTCTTCTGTCCATCCGCCGGTCGGAGAAGGTCCCCGGATCGATCCCGATCCCGACCGAAACTCATCGTCATCCGGTGTGGCTGTTCGCGGGCCATCGCCTCCGCCTCCGACGGACGCGTCTAGGAACAGAACTTCTGCTGGCAGAGGTAATAAGAAGAGTGGTGGCCTGAGCCCGGGAGCGATTGCAGGGGTGGTGGTGGTTGCCGGCTTCGTCGCTCTGGCGATCGGGACCGGCGTCGCGATCGTCCTTGTGCGTCGCCGCAATCCCCGGCGTGCACAGGGTAATCAGTCGGGGCTGGAGATGCCGTCCCGCCTCCCTAATTACGGCCGATCGAATCTGGAAAAGCCGATCGCCCACCATGAGTGGCGCGGGGGCATGAGGCGCTAGTTGCACTACTCGCCATCCGCCAACATTTTCAACGCATCTGGACAAAATGGCGACCATATGCAGTCAAAATGTTGGCGGATGGGAAGTAGTGCAACTAGGCCCTGAATATTGGGGAGAACGGTAGTGTACAGTCGCAGCAGCATCGCTGACCCCCTTAACTTACAACCCGTAGGTCGGTTCCACTTGCACGGATTACGAGATCTCGGCCGTTGATCTTCGCTATCGACGGTCAATATCGCTTAATTCGTGCAAGTGGGACCTAGCCCCCGTAGGTCGGTTCCATGTGTATATAGCAGTTATTAACCACATCCCACAGTCTGTTCTTGGGTTTGTTCCTTTTCGTTCTTTTCTTGTCCATCTGATTCCGCTAGGGTTCGAACCCGAATACAACCTACGGTGATTATAACTGTATTTGGGGTATCTTTTCGTCTAAATTCAGTAATAATTACCGTACATTGTATTCGGGTGAAGAAGGTACGGTTATATTTGGCCCTAATTTGGGGTATCTTTCCGTCTAAATACAGCAATAATTATCGTACGTTGTATTCCGGTGAAGAAGGTACGGTTCGAACCCATAACCGTTTTACTCTCAGTTTGTACGGTTCGACCTCACAACCGGTACATAGCCTGTGGGTTCGACCCCCCAAAACCGGTTTACGTCCTTCGGGACATCCGTTAAAACGATTGGAACGATACAGAGAAAGAGAAGATTAGCATGGCCCCTGCGCTTTCAAGGATGACACGCATAAATCGAGAACCGGTTTACGTTGTATAGCAGTTAATTAACCCAATCCCACACAGATCGATTTCAGACCGGGATGGTTGGTCCCATGTCCATGTGGGATTGGGTTAATTAACGGATTATTAACCCAATCCCACACGGATCGATTTCAGGCCGGTGTCTCCTTTCTGATCAGTCTCGTTTGAGATCAGTACGAGACAGATCGCCTAGAGAATATAAAGGAAAAAAAAATTGCGAAAAAAAGAAAAGCGTAGTTTTCCACCTCCCTTTCTGTGTCCTCCCCTTAAAATATGTAACTGGATTTATGTGTTAAATCATTTAAATTACTATTTAGTATTTACTAATTCATTGTTTTTCTTCTTTTTTTTCGTTTAATGAACTTTAATCACATATCGAATACGCTACCTTCTTCTACAGAGCGCCCCATATACACACAGTCCTGTTCCTGTGGTAATCATACGGGGGGTTATTAAGGGTTCGTCGGGGTTGGGGTAAGAATGCCCAAGCTAGCTTTTTTTTAGGGTGCGTTTCAGAAGCAGCCGAAGAACGACCGGTCGCCAGAGTCGGCACTCCAAGGGATAATCTTTTTTTTTTTTCTTTTTTTTTTTTTTTTTTTTTCGTCTGGTAACCTTGTGGGACATGCTCTTGTGCACGGGTAAACCGGAGTATCCCTGTTCGCTTTTTTTTTTTCCCTTTTTTTTTCTTGTTTTTAATTTTATTTTTTCGTTTTTCACTGTTTGCTTTCCGCTTTTCAGCTCCAAGCTCAGTCTAAGGGCGTACTCACATTGGCTCTTTCTTTAATGTATCTGACCGCATTTATGGCGGGAACGGGATGCATCTGACCGAGATTACGTCCTAAGAACGTACTCGCACTAGCACAATCTCAAATGTATCGGACCGTAATCACGCTCTAGTAGCGGCTCTACTTATCAATGAATGTATCTGATCGCAATTGGCTCCAGAAATAAGATAAAAAAAGTCCCTAGTGTGAAATTGTGAATGGCATTGTGGCCTAAGCGAGGAAAGATGCGGGTCTCCATGTCCGTCTTGTACGAGTTCAGTCGCTCTATTTTCCGATCCCAATCTACAGAAAATTAATGAGAAAAAGGAAAAAAAAGGAGCTCAGTCAATCGCCGTTTTACTTCAGCAGGTGGGAAGTACAGCATTGCCACGTGTGGTAGTATGCAGCAGTAGGCAGTCTTCGTCTTTTCTTAGGACAGTCTAAGAACTTCTATAGCCCGGATCCTCCCGTGGGAATATATACGGAAAGGATCACTAGTGCGCGTCTAAATGAGTGATTGGGCCCAAGTTACACCGTAGCCAGATTCATTGGGTCTAAATGAGCTAATTTGGGTGCAATGTGGTGCCAATTTAGGTCTTATTTGGGTCCGATTGATCAGTTTTGGCGAAGATTGTGATAGAAAGACGTGGTAGGAAATCAAGGTTGCCGCATTGCGATTTCCTATTCAGATAAATTGGGTCTAAATGAGCTTATTCTGGCCCAATTTGGGTCCAATTTGGTCCCAATTTGGTCCAATTTGGTCCCAATTTGGGTCCAATTTTAGTCCGATTGGACAACAAACGAAGGGCTGTGATAAACTGTTTCGTTGGAATTTCACCTCCCTACTCATCAGGAGGCTGCAGTAAACCCTAACTGATTACACTGTAAGTGATAATCCACCTTACATATATCGTCAAATATACATTCAGCTCTGTTTGACGATATGTAGTCATATATATATATAACCGACAGTCTGTAGAGTTTTCCATCTGGTGTGGGTGAGTGATAGTCTACTTTGATTTTGGTTAAGGTAGATTATCATTTACAGTGTAATCAGTGAGGGGATTCTGCAGACTGTTGAGGGTTCAGCCTTCTGATGAGTCGGTGAAACTCCGACGAAACAGTTTGTCACAGCCCCTCGTTTGTTGTCCTCTTCTCTCTCTCTGCCTACGGTTTACCGGGCAGTTCTGTTTGTGACAATATATATATATATATATATGAACTAAATCAAGTAGTAAACAAGTGAAACAAAGAAAGAAAGAAAGTAAACATCTAAAAACAGATGCACTTTTTTGTACAATTAAGAAAGGTTGAGCTGCAAGAACTTGCCAAGAAGCTTCTGTTTCGTTGCGAGAATAGATGAAGAAGGGGACGGGTTGAAGTCTCTGACATTATCATTTTCATATCTGATCAGTGCTCCATCGAACCCAACAGTCAATAATAACTTAAATTACTTAAATTAATAATAAAGAAGCCAAAGAGAAGAATGCGCGGGCGCAGGGTTATTCAAAGAGCAGAGTTAAACATTGTCGAATTCTACAAAGGAGTATATTTACCTGTCGTGTGCCGATCTGTTCGATTTCACAGACATAGGTCCTAAATTCCTAATCGTAGACCTACTGAAGGGAGGGTAGGGTCACTCAAGTTTTAATGAATCATTTATTATATTCTGTTATTGAACTTCCATCAGGCTCCACGGCTGTCCTTTTCGCTCACTCAGATATCGTCACGACTCACGCGCGATCGCGGCGACACCATTCATTGCACCGGTGAGGTCAGAACTGACTATACAATGCATACATACTATATATTATGTTTTATTGACATATAATGGACCAGTGCCCCCGGGGACCGGGGCTACTGACGCCGGGGTCACGACGGCTGGAAAAGCGTCGCTGGCATCGCTCGGCTATTCCAGTCTGTGCTCTCTCTCTCTCTCTCTCTCTCTCTCTCTCTCTCTCTCTCTCTCTCTCTCTCTCTCTCTCTCTCTCT